GTCTTCATCCTGCTCCTGCTCCACGTCTTCGTCCTCGTCCCCCTCATTTGACTCATCGTTGTCGGCGTCATGTACTTGCTATAACCCCCGCCCCCCCCCCGCCCCTGCTTGTGCCACGGGGCACCTTTTTTATCTTTTTTTTGGATCTTTGTCAGTGTTTTTATCTTTTTTTTGGATCTTTGTCGTTGTGTTCCTTGTCTTCGTCCTCCTCCCGCTCCTCCTCGTCCACGTCTTTGTCCCCTCCTGTTCCTTCTCCACATCTTTGTCCTCTCCATCGTTCTCCTCCTCATCTTGGTCGTCGTCATGCACTTGATATAACCTCTCCCACCCCGCCCCTGCCCAAGCCACGTGGCACCCTTTTTCCGTCCTTTTTTTTACTGGATCTTTGTCGTCGTGTTTCTCATCTTCGTCCTCCTCCAGGTCCTCAAGATCCTCTTCTTTGTCCTCCTCCCATTCCTCGTCCATGACAATGTCCTCCTGCTCCTCCACATCTCACGTCTTTGTTCTCTGCCCGCTCCTCCTCCAGGTCCTCGTACTCGTCCCGTTTTTCCTCCACATCATCCTCTTCCCCTCGTCTTGGTTCTCGCTATAACTGGGGGAGTCGAGGACTTGATATACGGGCTGGAATTCGCAGCGTCACAGTCTCATTCTTCTTTCTTCTCCCTTGCGGTGGCCTGCTTTGGTTGTGCTTGACTGGATGTTGAAAAACTAGGAACAGCTATAACGGTACCAAGAAAGGGTGTAGTTGCAAAGTGTGAGAAAAAGAAAAACTGATGTCATTTGTCCAATGGTTATATGGGTGCTTCCCCCGGATGCAGGAGACACATGGTAGGGAAGACGTATCCGGGGGAGACTCCGTACTGACCGGAATTTGCATCACCACGGTCTCGTTTCTCTCCCATGTGGTGGCGTAGTGGTGGTTCCTCTCATGTCCCATGTTTTTCATCCTTTTGCTTGGCTGGCTGATGTGATGCCTCTACACCATTTCCACTCCTTGGCTGCACACACCACACCTGTCACCTGGTTGATAAAAGACATGAAATGCTTGTGGAGGCAAATTGCCTCCTGACGCAGAAGAAATTTGTGGAGGCAAATTGCCTCCTGACGCAGAAGAAATTTGTGGAGGCAAATTGCCTCCTGATGCCGAAGAAGCCCGGAAGCAAAAGAAGTAACTGGCGTTGACGTAGCTGTGGTGAGTAGACTAGCTATTGGCTTCGGAATGCCGAAGAAATACAACATCAAAACATTGTTACCAGGGGGGCTGGGATTTTCCTCACCAGTGTGGTGACAGGGGGGTGGCTCCTATCATGTCAATGGTGCTTTCCATTCTTGTCCTTGTCCTATGTCATGCCCCGGCACCTTCCTTGCTCCTTGGCTGCACACGTCACACTCGTTACCTGTTTGGTGATAGACACAACACTTGTGGAGGCAAATTGCCTCCTGATGCTCAAGAAATAGGTAGGAAAAGGAGTCAGTGACAGTACTCTCTGTTCGAGGTCAATAGGGTAGGTATTCCGTCCTAATGCGGAAGAAACACGGTAGGAAAAGTTGTAGCCCCTAATGTGGAAAAAACACGGTAGGAAAAACTGTAGCCCGGGATATGGGGGCTCGATATTGACTGGAATCAGCAGCCTCTCGGTCTCATCCCTCCTTGTGTGTGGCGGGCTGGCGGTGGTTCCTCTGAGGTCTCTTGATGCTTTCCATACTGCCTGCCCGATGCGATGCCTGTGTTCCTTCCTCCCTCCTTGGCTGCGTACATCACATTCATTAGCTTTTTGATGAGAGAAACAAAGTATATGTGGAGGCAAATTGCGTGCTGTTGGTAATCCTAACGTGAATCACACTGTGGAGGGTGGTGTGTTTCCATTGTAGATTGGCCACTGTGTGACATCACAGAAGCAATAGCTGTAGATTGGCCACTGTGTGACATCACAGAAGCAATGGCTTGTTGCAGCTGTGGATTAGGTGTGTGTCAGGCTGGCAGGGTTGTACCGACTTTTTAATTTTTTTAAAGGGAGATGGTCTTGAGATATCATAGTTGAACTGACCTTCCCCAGGTAGAGTCAGAGTCATTTTTTTCACATCTGATTCCATTGAAATTTGAACTCTGGTCTGTGTTTCAGAGGTTGCCAACTTACCAACTCTGTTACAGACTCAGCCAGGGCTCGATCCCTGGTCCGCGGTTTACCACCCGCCAGGCTGCTATTTTATTCCGAGTTCCTGATCTCTGGTTCTGGACTGCTGGCGCCCTCTGCAGTTGGCGCCCGTTCTCAAATTCCTCCACTGGCATTTTTGGATTTCGATACTTGGCGCCATCCGGCATTCTGGCACCCAGACGCAGACCTGCGATCCTCAGTTCAGTCCTGAGGCAGGCCGCGCCTCGGCCCTCTGGACTGAGCCTGAGTCCGGTACTCGAGTCCGGACTCAAGCCGTGTTGGGGCATTCAGTCTATGGCCTCAGTGATTGTGCTTCAGTGTGACTTGCTGCAACTTTGTGTTCAGAATCCAAGATTGCGACTTTGCGATTTTGAGACTTTGTCACTTCGTGTCTGCGTCCGTCGTGTCGAGTCGAGTCCATGTCCGAGTCAAGTGAGTGCGTGTGCTCTCACTCTCTCCCTCTCTCTCTAGTGAGTGCGTGTGTGTGCTCTCTCTCCCCCTCTCTCCCCCTCGACCTCTCTGCTCTGCCTCGATCTCGGCACACTGGTATCGGAGCGGCGAAACGGCCCTCCCTCCCGCCCTTCTCCGGCGCCGCCATGTCATCAACATCGTCGTCATCGTCACCGTCTTCGGCGCCGCCACGTTGTTGCCATCGTTGTTGTTGCCACGTGGTTGACATTGCTGCCTTGTCATCGTCGATTGCTGCCATGTCATCGTCGATTGCTGCCACGTCATCGCCATCACCATTGTCTTGGTCGCCACTGACACGTCAGCACCCCGCTGCCTTCGTCGTTGTCGCTGCCATGTCACCGGTCCTGAAGCCGATGCGCAGGTAAGAGACCATTAAGTTTTTTTTTATTCCTTTTATTCTTCTTCTCCTTCTCTTTTCCTTCCTCGTCCCCTCATCTCTTCTTCCTCCCTTCCTCATTATCGTCGTCGTCATCGTCCCTCCTTCTCCCTCCCCTTCTTTCCCCCTCGTTTTGCTTCTCCCTCTTCCTCTTCTCCTTCAACCGTCCTTTCAGCCCCCCTCACCAACCCCCGTGCGATTTTCCGGCCCCCGCGCGCCGTTTTTCCCCGTCGCGCGATCTTCTTCCCCCCCCCCCCCCCCCTCCCACCGACTTACCCCAACCTCGATTGCGCCCAACAGCAATTGTGACTCCCCCACATCCCTCCCCAAAACTTCAACAAGCCTTCTCCCTCCACAGCATTCGTGTTGTCCACTGGCTCCCCATCGCTGGCGGCCGACTCCTAGACAACGCTGCTCGCTGGTGGTACACCGCGAAATGACAAATTGCCATCACACCAGTCTTCGACCTCACACCTTCCTTGAGTGGGCCACCCTCGTCTCCTCCACCTTCCGCCCACAGAAAACGGACGACGACTACATCGACCAATTCTGCCGGCTCCAACAAACGGCCCAACCGACCGTTTTGTGCAATACGTTCGCTCGCTTCGTCAACATATCCCCATCGACATCGTCACCGACTTCGCCTTCATCTCCGGCGTTAAGCGCGTATGCCGCAAAGACCTAGCGGTCGCCCTTGTCCACGAGCCCCCCATGACCCTCTCCGACCTCCTCATTCG